AAGCTCTGGAGAAGTCATAAACCAGTGTGCACAATGTTGGACTAACATCTCTTTCCTGTCATAAGCGCCTTGGCTTGAGAACTACGCTTTTTTTTGTCTTCACAGCTGAAATCTGTTCTCTATTACGCACAGTTTAGAGAAAGAGAGAGTTATTGGGGTCATGCAACTCCATAAGAGGAAAGTTTCTGGTTCCAAAAGAGAGTTTTATAAGCCAGGAATCTAGCACCTGATGAGGTGAAAACATTACGGTCATTTTGCTTAATGAAGTGTTAAAATCTGAGCTCATACTTTCACGGCAGAGTTTCCCACTGTGGTGCTTTGAGAGCTTTGGGGGTTATTGATTTATCCGAGGCAGGAAGGAGTGAAAAAAAGGACAACACTCTGCGGTCTCTCACCTAGAGACGAATGAGCGCCCGTCTGAAAGGTCATCTGATTTGGGGTGTGATATAATGTTTTTCTGACTAGCTCCCTTATCAGCGGTTTCTCATTATTTCACCCTTATTTATTAAGGTCGATGAGATAACATCGTGCTGAGCTTGAAATAGTCCGCTTGAGCTGTGTGAGAGAGGGAGACGATCTTTCATGATTTTAAAGGGTACAGTGCTAAAGAGGGAGCTTACTGATCCTTTACTCTGCTGTAAAATTATACAGAACAGCTGATGTGGAGATGATGAAGGAATATTTTTGGCTTTAATGGGTCATTTTGCTAAAAATGTGGCCGTTTGGAAATTTTCCCTTCATGAATCACACAGGGCAGTACCCCTCCCCAGGTGGGGGACTCTACCACAGCTAGGTGTTTGTTCTGCCCTCTGAGTCTGCCTTCTCACCGTAAACAATAGGGCATCAAGCGAGAAAGCCAGAGCCACCAAAGCCCTTCCAGAGAGGGTCAGACACAGCTCATTTACTTTCACACTTCTACTGACATGATGACTTTACAGAAATCTTACTTGAGTATCTTCAGGGGATGGAGGTGTCCTTTATGGCCACAATGACCCACGTGGTCCAGGTACAGGATGTGGTGCTCCTCCTCGAATACCTTGACAGAAGTAAATACAAATATTTTAAAGAAAAGTTGAGAAATCAGATAAAGGTGTTCCTGAAAAGTCACATGTAAAATTGAACAAGCTAGAAATAAGAAAACTGGACGGATAAAACTTTAGAGAGTGTGTGGAGAAGGTCAGGAGTTGAATTTTAAGAAGAAGCACATGGATCACATGATGTACCTGTTTCCACGTCTTCCGCAGTCCGAGGTGACGTACATCTCTTCCTTATACTCGACCAGCTTGGAGCCAAGGTTACCTGAAGTACAGGCAAGGAGTTAAAAGTTTCATCAGGCAGGGAGGCTCTTGTGAGGCGTGAACAAACAATAACAACAAGAACAGATTCAAAGAGAAGGAAGGGCTCAGAGACGACAGATGTGAGGAGACTGGAGAGTAGAGAAGTGAACACAGAGAAGTTCAGCAGGTTCAGGAATTTGCTCCTTTAATTATTTATCACTTTACTTTCTTCCCCTCTCCCTAATCACTACCACAATATTACATCTAACAGAGAACTTTTTTTGAGCCTGAAACAGTAAAGAAGTAAAGTCTATGACAACGAGTTTAAATGAGCAATATGTAACTCTGACACCTAGTGTTTAAAATAGGTACTGCAGTCCACATTTAAAACATTAGAGAGCTGTCTCCCCCCGCCCCCTCCTCTCTAGAGTCGGTGCTCATTCAGGTCACCATGTGGTAGACACTGAAGCTTCAGTGTTTATCCAGCTCTGCATCAGTCTGTAAACCTTTCTGTGTTCTAACCTCTCTCCATTTTTCAAAAGCATCTCCAATATTGATCCTAGTTTGAGCACGTTTCTGCTCGTGGAGCTTATTAGAAACATGCAGAGGCCTTACTGTCAGTTGTTCACACTGTTTTTAATATTGCTGCCATTTTTTGATGCCCTGAAACGTTGAGCAAACATCACAACTCGGCAACTCTGGTATCATCAAAATTTCCCACTCGTAATTACCAGAGGTGCTGCTTGTCAACAGACAAGGCAGGCAACTGCTTGGGGCCCAGACCTATAGGGGCCCCAGAGGGCTCACAAACTTAAACCAAAGCAGCCACCCAAATGCGGAAATGTTGCAATGACAGTAGGAAACCTCCCTAAGGAGGCCCCATCTGACAGCACTCTCGTTGCCCTGCTAATCGTTGGGTGCATGATTGCTGTGAAAACCAAAGTTCATCAATGGAAGTCAACAAAGAAAAATGAATCTGTCTATAGGAATCCAAAAAATATAGGCCTACAGGATAAAATAGTATGAGAGTTAAACATCGGGACACTGGCAGGAATGATGGTGATGAACGCTGGTTGGAGGGCCCCCCAATTGATTTTGCTATAAGCCCCAACATACTCTAGAATCGGCACTGGTAATTACGCAGAGGCGTTCATGTGCTCATATTTCAAAAAAATAACAAACAAAATATTCCAAAGGAGCACATGAAGGCAGCATTTGACTTAATTCTTTCTGTTTAAAGACACAAAGGTTTCAAACTCTGCCCCCTCTCACAGGCTTTTAGTGACACATTTATAATGCCTGAACCAAAATAAGCACAATGTCATTTCAACCTCAGAAGTTTGTAGCCTCGTTAATAAAAACGTATCATTTTTTTTACCTTTAACAGAAACATTATTTTTGAGTATGTGTTATTTATTCTTGCCTGATGTCTCCTGACATTTCTCAGTTTTCTTTCTTTCTGTCTTTCTCCGAGCAGAAACATGCTTCCACAGAGGCATGAAAAGCATGACCTCGATATTTCCCTGCTCACGAACAAACACGGTGAAGTATTCAATAAGTAAAATCACTGTTGGTTCAGTGGATTCCTCTGTGTGTCGGAGTGCTCAGGCATGAAGAGATGTGGTTTTTATACTCCAGCAGCACACAGACGCAGCGAACACTCCTGTCAGAGCTCTTCTGGGGGGTAAATGGAGGACTGTCTCTGGAGGAGGGCCACTTGTTTAGCTCGCTCATACAAACATTTTGCATATAACGGAGAGTTATTGTAGAGGAGACGCAAAAACCAAACCACATGAGACACACACACACACAGTCAGACACACACACACTCAGTCAGACACACACACACAGTCAGACACACACACACACAGTCAGACACACACACACACACAGTCAGACACACACACACACACACACACACAGTCAGACACACACACACACTCAGTCAGACACACACACACACACACACACACACACACACACACACAGTCAGACACACACACACTCAGCCAGACACACACACACACACACACACACACACACACAGTCAGACACACACACACACAGTCAGACACACACACACACAGTCAGACACACACACACACACAGTCAGACACACACACACACAGTCAGACACACACACACAGTCAGACACACACACACACAGTCAGACACACACACACAGTCAGACACACATACACACACAGTCAGACACACACACACACACAGTCAGACACACACACACAGTCAGACACACATACACACACAGTCAGACACACATACACACACAGTCAGACACACACACACACACAGTCAGACACACACACAGTCAGACACACATACACACAGTCAGACACACACACACACACACAGTCAGACACACACACACACACACAGTCAGACACACACACACACAGTCAGACACACATACACACAGTCAGACACACATACACACACAGTCAGACACACACACGCACACACAGTCACACACACACACAGTCAGACACACACACACAGTCAGGCTTACATATAAAAGAACACACGTGCAGATTACACACCAACACTTTCACATACACTATCATCAGCTTATACGGTCTCTTGTATGTCGTTACAAACAATGATTTTAACCTTTCTATCCAAAAGAAAGTGACTAATTTCAACGATGAACCTCCTCAAGTGTTAATTTAAAGTGAATACAGGACCTAGATTCATACTAAAAAGGAAAAAAAATCTAAATGTTTTGGTTGCTTTGAACCTTTGTCACATTTGACAAAGGTTCAGAGGGATCGAAATGTTGTCATGTTGCAATAATAATGTAACAGTACACTCAGGGGTGTATCTAGTAGGGAGGGGGGGAGGGGGCATGAGCCACCCTACAAATTTGATTGGCCACTCCAGGTGCCACCCAAAAAAGTCCTAAACTGTGATTGGTGCCTTTGCTCCAGAAGTGGACCTCAGCTCATCACCTGCATTGTGTAGAAACTACGTCGTCTCATGTCTCATTCAGCCATAAGTAAACTCACAGTATAAACTCCGCCATCAGTGACATGCTTTGAGTGTGGGCTAGTGAACACAAGAGGTAGAGAGCGAAAAGGGAGACAGGGAGGCGTGTGATTGGTTCATCAGATTGGTACCTCGTGGCAGACATTGGTCAAAGTTTTTACAGACTTACAAACTGATACAGATGACAGATTTTCTTCATTCTTTTTTCAGAGCACATGCGTTATTAATGTCTGTCAGGACCTAAAGATAATTTCAATCAAAATCTTGGATCTGGAGGAAATTACCAACCCTGCCTTTAATTGGAAGTTTTGACGGTAGGTGCATTAAAGTCTAAAAGTTGATTCTTGTTTGTGCAAGCAGCCCATGCACACAGCGTCTGCTTCATAAATGTCAGGTGGAGAGAAGGTCACACAGACTCACCAGCACCCATGATGAGACCCGGAGCAGAGTCTTTGGTGTGGACCGTCCCCGACACGTAGGGGTTGTCGGCCCAACGCAGGTGGAGGTGGAGGTGACAGTCGGGCTGCAGAGCGGGAACATGAAGGGGGAAAGGAATGTGAGGATTAGAGTGTCTTTGTCCCACCGTCTGCACACTGATCCACCGTCTGAGAGGATGTTTGAAGAAAGTTTAAGTTTGAGTATCGCTTCATAGGGATGGTGGCTGAACTTAAGGCACCCACTCTGTCATGTTTAATGAGTCTCACCACACAGAAACCTGATAATCCTGCTGCACATACAGCTCAGTAATGGGATTCAGTGCTGTTAATCAAATGTAACACGAGGAAGTGTCTCTAACGGCAGCTACTTCATTTCAAATGGAAGAATAAAACTGGACTGAAAGAGAGGAGAAGAAGATCTTGATCTAAGCTTTCATAGGCTTGGCTGAAGAAAATGAAGTATTCTGCAAAGCATAATACTTCACTTCCTGTCATAAAAACCCTTTTGAATTACACTCATTGTAGAGCTGGACCCTGGTTTAACATATTTTGGGGTCTATATGATTAATAGGTACAACAGTTATCACTGATAGCTCCAGATTTGGATTTAAAGTGTCTGATATCATTATAGAAAAGATCCCAACAGAGCGTGATCATTTTAATGCAGAGAAAACGTCTTTTTAATAAAATACTATAAACAGATGTTACATCACTCTGATCAAAGCCACCAGACTCCACGGACAAAGACAGTTATTATACATCACTGAACAAAGCAGCAACCTCCAGTGTTAAAAAATTAAGCCGATACAGAGGCGCAAAATCCTGCAGTTCCTCGAGTGTCCACTAGAGGCTTGCTGCAGAAGCCCCAGAAGGCACATACACACCCATTCAAAAAAGCCTGTTTTTACAGCAGACATGAACATGTTTACAGCCTGGTTCAAAAAAAAAATAGGTCTGATTAGCTCATGAATGGATCGGCAATAACTGTACAGGGGTTGAATTTTTTTTATGACTCATCCGTTTTGATTTGATATAGGATAAGAGTTATTCACAATAAGGCGTGTAGCTGACATTATTGATAGTTGGGCGCGGTGTAACAGTTTGTCAGGAGGTTTAAAACCCGCCTCAGCTGCAGCTCTCAGTCTGTGGTTAGGTTGACTGAAAGTTAGACTGAGACAGCATTTCCAGCATGGAGACTGCCATCAATGGAACTCCAGCACCCCCTGCAGGAACAGACGGGTGACGTCACTCAGGCTTCTTCCATTAATATTTATAGTCTATGTGCTGAGCACACAAGTTGATTGCAACTGATTTCAACTGCCTTTGATGTATTTTTTGTGCAACTATACTGCAGCGTTTAAAACACAAACATCACCCAATAGACCAGCAACTCACCTTATTAACAGAATTAACTGATCCAGTGATATTAAAGTTCACTTTTACTGACGGATGAACGGCCTCTGATTAAACCTAATTTCTTCACAGCCATGTTGATTCTTTCTAAAGGAAAGCCACCTGCTGGTCTGATTTATGCAGCACTTTATGAAGTCATTAATCTGCAACAGGCTTCTTGCGCTCAGTACGGTGAAATGCTTCTGTGCACTCAGGAGGTCACCCCTCCACTGCTCTCTGTCAGGTGTTGAGGAGCATGAACAGATACAGCTGACAGTGTTGAGCCTGACACATTAGAAAGCACATCTAGTATCTGCCTCCTTCTACCTGTGTGACCTGCAGCTCTGTGTTTGAAACAAAAATGTCTCTCTCTGAGTGATAGAGGTGAATCCAGGTGAGATGAGCTTCTCTCTTAGGTCGTTATGTTGAGGTATGAATGAGGAGGTCAATATGAGAGAGAAAAACAGCCGTGTGTGTATCAGCGTTGGTAAACAAGTTTTGAGCTGATGGCCGTGTCTCCCTTAAAACCCGTCAGCTGTCAGGAGTGATGGTTCAAATAAAGGATCAGACTCTCTCTCTCGCTCCCTGTGCCGGGTGATGTATGGATATCAGACTGAGGCTGACTCATTTCTCTTCTTTCGCCGTCTCGACCCGCAGCGGCAACTTTTGACAAGACGAATGGAAGAGCTAGGCAGGCGTCTCGCACACATTCCTCAAAGTACAACACTCATCCCTCATCCTTTAACTTTGTGTTCCTTTTCTGAACAACCCATCGGACAGGTTCCCCAAATTTGAGGGATTGTTGCTGGTAAAAGATTGCGTCTGCAGATACAAAGTTTGAACACGTTGCCTTGTAATTGTGTTTGCAGCTTTGATAGTTCACTTTAAATGACTGCAAGAGTTCATCAATAAAAAAGTTTTGAACAGTTTGTATTTTGACCTCGTTTCACATCCGTTTGTGAAATAGAAAACATAACATGATTGTACATGGAAAATGAGTGTGAGTAGACATTTATGCCAAATTGTAAGACTTTCCCCCTCGGCTTCCCTGACATGTTGTGAATAATACATGGACGTAGTCTCAGCGGCACACCCATTTGTTTCTGAAGATGTTTTATGAAGCCAAACAACTTTGGACTTTGACATGGATTGAGACCACCCCATCACTACCCAATTGTTGCCCTGTCTGCTAAATGTCAAACAAACGGTGTCTGCTGACTTTACTGTACTGTACATTACAATACTCAGATGCTAAATTACACCATACGCACTAATGTTAGTGTTACCTAAAACTCTTAACACATTCACAAGCTGGTAGGCTAAATTAGCCCAAAGTTACAATAGCAAACACATTGTTTACACTCCCTAACTGAATGAAACAGTCCCACAAAAAAGTTATAATGTTAAACAGTTAGAAAATCATTCAATCTAAGCTAAACTGATTGTCTATGATGAAAAGCAAGAAGCAGTTGTTGTACGTGCATAAGCGTGCATGGAGCCATGTAGTCACATGCTCAAAACACATCCAATTTCTGCCGATAGTTAGTGCTTACCGCTTTGCAGCTGACCGGTTTCCCGTTCATGTCAGTGTTGGGCGGGGCTAAGAATTCCCAGTCTCTTCCTTTGTTGTAGGTGATGAGAGTCGTTACTTTGCTGTCGACCTTTTGATTGGCCAGAAAGACTCCTTTGATTCCACGAACCTGGGAGACAAAGTAGAGTTACCGCAGTGAGAATGAACTCTGATTAAAGACATCTGAATCTTTTTTAACAGGTTAAAGTCATTTAGTGTTTATAAGAGCTTTCATGTATTGACATGAACAAAAGATGCATTTTATCTCTGATCTGATAAAGGTCACATATTCTGTAAAATCCACTTCTCCATGTTCCTCTAACTCTAATAGGTGTCTCTAGTCTGTCTACAAACCCCCCAATGATGAGAAAAGTCCATCCTCTCCGTCTTTTGCCTGCTCCTCTTGTGTGCTCAAAACAAGCCGTTTTGAGATTTTCCCTTCATGACATCACAAAGGGCAGTAACCCCTCCCCCAGGTGGGTGACACTCCCACAGCTAGGTGTTTGTTCTGCCCTCTGAGTCTGCATTCTCACCGTAAACAATAGGGCATGGAGCGAGAAAGCCAGAGACACCCAAGCCCTTCCAGAGAGAGAGCGTGGTCAGACACAGCTCATTTACATATTTAAAGGTACAGACACAGAAACAGCCTGTTCTGAGCAGAGCTGAAATAGAGGGGTTTATAGACATGATCAAATACAGGATCAAAGTGGATTTAGAACAATAAACTTCACACACATGTTTTGGGGAGCTCTGGTTGAAGAGGAGGAGAATATGTCACCTTTAAAGTCCCTCCTCTCCTTTAGATCCAGTCACAACACCTTGGCATTGTAATTTTTCAGAATATGAACCAGAACATAAAAGGCTGTTCACTTAACTGTCAGCCCCGTTGTGTGTTCCTTTAAACCACTGACACAGAAACTACAGGCTGGTAAAAGTTTAATTCACTGAAATCAATACATGCTGCAACCGGAGAAGACGACGACGATGGAGACGGTGCACACAAACATCAGAACAGAGCGAGGTGGTGTGTCAGACATGTCTCCATCCACACACTCCCCCAGCTCCCTGTGCTATCTATAATTTAGCGCCGATGTTTATAGAGGGAAACAAGGTAATTGTTGAAATCAAAGTACACAACCCTGCTTGTATTCTCTCTGGACATCTGGCTTCTCCTCCTTTCTGTCTGCACCTCTTCTGCTCAGTGCTGAACCATTTCTTCTTTTTGACACTACTTTTTCAGCCTGAAGACTTTATCCATCCCTGCATGCTGTACCCCTCTCCATCTCTATCTACAGCGTGTGATGAGAGTGCAGCCCCGAGCGAGGGATGAAAGAGGAGGAGGAGGAGGAGGAGGAGGAGGAGGAAATGAGTTCTGCAGTGACGGCCTCTGCCTCCATGGTCCAACACCTCTTCCTTTTCCTCCCATATTTCCTCTCTCTTTCCTTTTCCTCTACTTGTTTCATGGTGTCTGCGTCCATTTATCTAGAAACCTTGCCAAAACACTCCCAGATGACAACAAGATGAACAATCGCTTTACTGCGATAACATACAGAGTGATGTGAGAGGCAGCTATCTCCATGAAATAATCATGGAGTCTTCTCTATAATGAACTGTAAGCTAAACAGTCACTGTCACAGTGACAGTCCAATCACTGCTTAGAAACCCATAACAACAAGCTATCCACTTGTTTTGATAGTGTTTCTTTTTACACTGTAAAAATCTTATTTGTCTTATTTCTAGTCAAAAATGTGTTGCCCTTGCCCATGTACTGTTTTACTTTGTCTTTTCCTTCCCTTGTGTTCTTCACTCCTTGTGTGTATTCTTATGGTTATGTTTTTAGTTCTCTTTTGGTCTATAGTGTTTATAGTTTTAAGGACTTAGAGGAGAAAGAGCGTACATTTAGAGCCTGTATGAATCTTGAAGGAGTAAACACTAAATGTCCAACGTCTATCCTGCTTCCTTCGTCTAAGTCTCACCTCAAGTATGTCGATGAGGGTGTTCTCCTCGGGCTGCTTGGTGCTGCGGACATTTTCCAGGACGATGGAGTAGTAGACTCCCTGAGGGTCCGACTGGTACAGGTTATAAGTGTCCAACTGGTACCACTCTTGAAGGGCGAGGAAGACCTGGTTCTCATCTGTACTCACAATCTGAACATCCTGGGGAAGAGATGGAAGGAGGACAGAGACGAGGGAGACAAAAAGGGGACAGTCAGTCATTTACAAATACATGATTTGGAGATTAAACTGGACGGAAGACAAGAGAAGGTTGGGGATCATTTTAGGTTGATACAAGAGATAAATATAATCGAAAAGGGTACAGAAACTAAATTATTTCGAATGTGTTTCATACAAGCGGCTTCAGATGAGTTCTCCCTAGAGGGATTAAAACATTGGGGTGAATGGTCAAGGTAAATAAAAGCTGCAAGTGAAAAGAAAAGCTGAAGCAGTACAAGCTGCAGATTCACAGAAAAGTTTGATTTGTTGTGAGGTCTGACGGCATAATCGGATAAAAGCAAAAATACAGAGACCCAGCCTCAAACTGCAGGAGATAAGGGAACACTTTATCCATGCAAAAAGTGGCTTTGGCAGCTTAGGAAACTTGTTAGCTGTTCTTGTCAAACCCTGTGAGCCTCCGATGCAAATGACTTCATCACTCCTGAAAGACTGTAACGACGGCGCAGAGAGCGACTCAGCACTTTCTCAGTGTTAGTGATTACATTAACATAACATTTGGAGATAAAGCCATCAGAGTGCAGGGGGAAAGTGCCCGCCAAGGTGTGTCTCTAATCACTGATGCCCTGCCATCTCGCTTAGAAAAAAAACACTAGAGCTCAATTACGCTTAGATTTATGGCCGCGGCTAAGAGTCATAACATTATTGAAAACTGTGCACTGATTTTCATATTCATAAATGTTTCTGAGTCAGCCAACAAGCTGTGCATCCATTGCCAAGAGGGCAATTAAGCTACAAGTACAAAAAAGGGAAGGGAGCTGTACACATGGCCAATGGATTCACTCTGACACCACGGACAGAGCATGGACTGGTGAGACTGGTGGATCAGGAGCCCAATGATGGTTTAAAGCAGTGGGGATTTTAGAGTCTGACGGGGCTCGAGTCCAAAAGCAATTAAGGACCACTCCAACCATCACCATCATGTCTGCCAGTGTCCTGATCCTTCCTCTTTTCTTTTTCCCCTCCTATAGACGGATCATTCCTCTTCCATTTTTCTTTGTTGACGTTCATTGATAAACTTTGGTTTTCACCACAATCATTTATGTCACGATTGGTATGGCAAGGAGAGTGAGTGCTGTCAGGTGGAGCCCCCTTAGGGAGGTTTCCTACTGTCATTGCGAAATTTGCACATTTCCACTGCTGTGGGGGCCCCCCTACCTTCCTGGGGCCCCAAGCAGTCACCTATTGACAGGCAGCACCTCTGGCTGGGGGTTTAGGTCCGGGATGTTTCCATCTATAGAAGTACCTATGACACAAGTGTTGAGCGACAGCGGTGTGAAAATGGTCTTCTCGTATCATACCAACGGACTACCGGCGTCTGCTGGACGGGAGAGTTATTTCCTCTCATGCATGTGCAGAACGTACGTGGTGGTTGGCCGTCCGCTGAAGTCTTTGCGGTGTGTTCTAGTGTTCCACAGTCGGCCTTGGTCGCCACTAGTGCCACTCTGCCGTCTGCTTGGTGTGTCAGGGCCTTTACCTAGCGCTAGTTTTCCTTCACCACTTGGAATCCTTATAGTTTGTTTACCTACTGTAAGTGTAAGCTTCATAATGTCATTACCACAAGGGGATAACTGAATATTTGACTACCTATAACCCTTTACGTATCTGATTTATATTTCATTATGCTCCTTCTATGACTCCACAGCTCTTTTTTCCCGCAGTTTGCACCTTACATTTTCAGATCAACCCGCGGCTGAGCGGCAGGTTTGAATGTTCCTCTCTTCAGTTTGAAGTCTTTGAATCCAGCAGTGAAGAGGATTATGATGAATATGGCAGCTGAAAGACGCTTTCCTGTGCACTCAGTGATCTGACGTATAAGAACACAAACTTAACTGCATGGATTTGGTTGAAATGATTCAAAGAGTTTTGCTTTTGTGAGCTGCAGCGTGTTCTGTTCAATAGATGTGTAACACTGTGTGTGTGTGTGTGTGTTTGTGTGTGTGTGTGTGTGTGTGTGTGTGTGTGTGTGTGTGTGTGTGTGTGTGTGTGTGTGTGTGTGTGTGTGTGTCTGTGTGTGTTTGTGTGTGTCTGTGTGTGTGTGTTTGTGTGTGTTTGTGTGTGTGTGTGTGTGTTTGTGTGTGTGTGTGTGTGTGTGTGTGTGTGTGTGTGTGTGTGTGTGTGTGTCTGTGTGTGTCTGTCTGTGTCTGTCTGTGTGTGTCTGTGTGTGTTTGTGTGTGTGTGTGTGTGTGTGTGTGTGTGTGTGTGTGTGTGTGTGTGTGTGTGTGTGTGTGTCTGTCTGTGTCTGTCTGTGTGTGTCTGTGTGTGTTTGTGTGTGTGTGCTAGACTGAGGCGGATCGTCAGACTGTAAAATAAATTTCGAAAAAAGCCAAAGTCTGAAAACTGCACAAATGTTCTGAAGGAGTGATATCAATATTAAATTCAAGGAACTTTTTAAACTTTCAACAAATGTGTTCAACAAGCAGAAACTGGTGTTATAGTGTTCGGATCGCAAGAAAGGGCCGGAGTAATGAATTATAAAAAACAGACCAAACTTCAAACAGAGTCTGAGTCTTTCTTCAACTGCTGAACAAACAGATGTGAGAAGCCAAACATGCATAAAAATGTCTGCAAAATAAGAAACTGCAGCTGCAGAATAAAGTCTAACTGGATTTCCACATCTCATCTTTCACTAACGTAGATGAGAAGACGCAGAGTCGGGTTTTCTGTCACAAACTACTAAAGGTGCATGACGAGATCTAGCTCCTACAAGTCTACCTCAGGTCTACATCCTTCAGACCTCCATCAGTCAGAAGAGTATCCGGACTTAATCTTCAATCCCAGGACCGACAGAACTGAGCTCTTTAAGTTTGCTGCTGCCGTTACTTGGAATGAGTCACAAATACAGCTGAAACTTAACGAGCTGCTCTCATTGGATGCTTTTAAGAGGATGTTAAATGACTTGGAGTCGGACACATCAGCTGCAGATGTTCTCCCTTTTGTGTTTGTGGGAGATCAGGACAAACATTTGCTGTTTAATTTGTTATTCATATGTGTGGCTGCTTGTTGATTGTGTGAAACTCTGTAATTTGTGCAAAAAGCTCAGCAACACTTAATTTGACTCTGATGCCGGTTTATTCAAACACCGGATTGACTAGATCACCTTTGATCCAGATATCCTCACTATAGCAATGTTTACATTTATTTTATCAGACTAAAATCTTTCTGACTGGGGATTCCAACGTCCTCAGCTACATAAGGGGATCTTGTTAGGCCGTGGGTATAGATGCATCAAACTTTTAGTTTTGACAGGCAAATGGTCCAGTTTGGATTAGAACCCACTGCCGCTGTGACGAGGACTATAGCTCCTGTACAGGTGGCGTTTGACTTTAACACTACAGGCTAGGCTATCCGGCGCCTCAAAGGTAAAAGAGTGTTACTTTGCTAATGGTAATCTGGGGGATCTTTTATCCTTTACTGTAATATGATTAGGGAACCTTTAGCATGTCTGTAAAGATCAACTGCAGAATCTAGCTTGTTCTAACATTTTACCCAGTGAACCACCCAAAACTCAACCTTGTGTTAGCATCATCCTGACTCCTTGGATCAAAGGGGTCCCTCTTCTTTAGATCCCGTCTGATTAATTGACCAGCTGATAATCTCGGCTGATATTAGCATATCCAGTAACTATCGTATTGTATTTCATCACAGAGATATGTGCAGATATTACTTGATTTATTCACCAGTCAAAAAGCAATTATTTTGAGTATCGTTGTATTACACTAGCAGTTCTCTTTCACCAGCAGAGGACGCTATATGGATTACAAAGAGTGTCAAGCGGTGATGCATGTACCTGTGTACCTGTATTCTCTGGTATATGATTGGAGTCAGTGGCTTTTGAGTTGGGCGTTTACATTTCACCATGTCTAAAGAAGCCAAATGTTGGACAATAAGGGCAAGAACAAGACAAATTGTCATTGGAAATATCTTCCTCTGCCTATTGTGTTTGCAAAAGGCCACCTTTGTCTTTTCAAGTGAAAACCAGTGTCCCTCCTGTTGTTGCTGCATCACTGAGTGCCCTCTGAAACAAACACTCTACATCCATCTCTGTCAGAACCAGCAGGGCCACACTCATCCAAAAGACAAAGGGGGTAAAATATCACAGAGGGTCTGAGACGCTGCACGAGCCACTGGAAGCAAAAACAACCTCCTCTCGGCAACAAAAACTTCCCCTTCACTGAACTCATCATGTCGTGAATAACACAAGAAAGGTAGAGACAGAAAGAAATAATGAGAGGGTGAAGATTATTATTAATTTACACATGAATGGAAGCTTTCTCTGTGCGGGGACGTTACATGCACATCCTCAAAGGCGTGAGAATATTTTGAAGTGCTGAGTAAAAATAAGTGTCGTGATTAGTCAGCTGTAATGTACACACAGCCACAAAAACCCCACGCTGAAGGATGAAAGCCAAAACGAACGAGACGCAGGAGGTGCAGACGGGCGGAGGTGAAGGTGAAGTGAGAATGTGAAACAGATGTTGGAGCACTCTGAAATATGTTCTCTGACATCTTATGTTACTTTTTAATGTACCTTCACTTACTGATGGCAAAATGAAATGTGCTTTGTAAGAATTAAAATGTTATGTCAAGTATTGGGGTGAATGCTAAATGTCTATATTCCCTATTTGCATGAACCAGAGGTTGCTTTCCACAGGATGACCTCTTGACCCCCATCAGAGTTCAGGAGAAAAAGCCACCAAGTCCGACCACATTGTAATGGGTAAGACCTCAATAACCATAACAAATCAATAGGTTTGGAGTGGATCATCACAGTGAGACTTTTTGACTTTCAGGGAAGATTGTCAGACCAAAACAAATTCTCTCATGGGACACACCTCCTTCATCATCCCTCAGCTCCCCCCGTCTCACTGTCTGTGAGACGAGTGCAGATAAACGTTTGTAAACAAGATTCGGCGATCAAGTCAAGTATTGATCCACATCTCAAAGTTGATTCGGTTTTTATCCATTTGTTTTTTTAGCACTTT